CGGCCCGGGACCAGGGATTTGCAGGCCCTTGGCTTTGACCTAGAAAGCTCGAAGCTTTGGGATGGAAGGGTCAGAGATCCCTGGCCTTGGGATCTGGGATTTCGGTGATATCTTCTGCTGCCAGAAACAGGTGGTTCCCTAATTAAACCGTATATGAAAAGAGTAGGTTTGTCAAGTTTTCCAAGGCTACCCCTTTGCAGGCCCCGACCCCCCCCGAATAGCAGGAAACCCCCCCGATTAACAGGGTCTTTGACCTAGAAAGCCCGAAGCTTTGAGATGGAAGGGTCAGAGATCCCTGGCCTTGGGATCCCTGGGATTTCGGTGATATCTTCTGCTGCCAGAAACAGGTGGTTCCCTAATTAAACCGTATATAAAAAGAGTAGGTTTGTCAAGTTTTCCAAGGCTACCCCTTTGCAGGCCCCGAACCCCCCCCGAATAGCAGGAAACCCCCCCCGATTAACAGGGTCCGGCCCGGGACCAGGGATTTGCAGGCCCTTGGCTTTGACCTAGAAAGCCCGAAGCTTTGAGATGCAAGGGTCAGAGATCCCTGGCCTGTGGATCCCTGGGATTTCGGTGATATCTTCTGCTGCCAGAAACAGGTGGTTCCCTAATTAAACCGTATATAAAAAGAGTAGGTTTGTCAAGTTTTCCAAGGCTACCCCTTTGCAGGCCCCGACCCCCCCCGAATAGCAGGAAACCCCCCCGATTAACAGGGTCCGGCCCGGGACCAGGGATTTGCAGGCCCTTGGCTTTGACCTAGAAAGCCCGAAGCTTTGAGATGGAAGGGTCAGAGATCCCTGGCCTTGGGATCCCTGGGATTTCGGTGATATCTTCTGCTGGCAGAAACAGGTGGTTCCCTAATTAAACCGTATATAAAAAGAGTAGGTTTGTCAAGTTTTCCAAGGCTACCCCTTTGCAGGCCCCGACACCCCCCCGAATAGCAGGAAACCCCATGGCCGGCCACATTTGAACCCCCAACCCCCTCAACCCCCTCAACCCCCTCAAGTCCTTGAACCTCTTCAAACCCCCAACCCCCTATTGTAATAATACTATACTACTGTACTGCTTCTATTTCTACTATTACTAGACTTTGTACTACTACTATACTACTGTTCTACTATTATACTACTGTAATACTACTATACTACTGTACTACTACTGTACTACTGTACTACTACTATACTACTGTAATACTACTATACTACTGTACTACTACTATACTACTGTACTACTACTATACTACTGTACTACTACTATACTACTGTACTCCTATTGTACGACTGCAATACTTTACTAAGTACTCTCTATCTACTTACTACTATACTTAATAATTAACCCCATCCCCACATAATCGGGGGGGGGCCGGGAAAAACTTGAACCCATGAACAAGTTCAAGCGGGCTAACCTTGACAGCGGGGGGGGGGGGGGGAGGGGGTTTGTTAATCCGGATCCAACATTATTGTATTAGGGTCCCCTTTCTTCGGAAACTCCCATTTTGAGCCCCGGAACTGAAAATGCAAAGCCTGTAGGCCCTCAAGTTCTGAACTTTTATCCCACGACGATTTTACACAACAAACCTAGCTTGGACCCTAAACCCTAAACCCTAAACTCAACACTTGAAGTTCACCCAGCCCCTAGACCTTGCCTGAACTACAGCCTTCTGGAAGCCTACAAAACCCGAAACCCCAAACGTTATCAGAACTCCACAGACTCACTCCTACACCCAAAACCATATGTAAACAGCTCCTTTACAGGATCCATGATAGAAACCAAAAGCGGTATCCCCACCTAACTGTCAAGCCGTAAATCCCTAAATCCTTCCTCGCCCAGGATTCTGGCCGTAGCGGCGAACTCGGCCGAGTGCCTGTGACTCGTAAGCGAGAGCCTTGGCGGGAAGCATTTTGGGAGGATCCTTAAGGGTTCTCATAGGGCTCTACAACAGGGTTTAGGGTCAGGTTTGGTCATTTTGGAGTTCTGTCAGGGCTTTTATTCGGCTTTGTTCCTGGTTCTCTCGGGCGTTTCGCGGGGTTTATATGCAGGAGTCTTGTGTTCTATAAGGGTTCTATCAGGGTTTGTATAGGGTTTAGAAACTCATTAGGAGAAGGCTTTAGAGCCCAGCTCAAGTCTTGGTAGCGGTGGTGCTGCAGGTGACCCCTCCCAGAGTCGGCTGAAGCCGTGTTGCGGAGAACTTTCGGGCTTTCGTCCTTCTCGCCACAAGCGCACTCTTTTTTTGGCTCTGCGCTGCCCGGGCGACGAGAAAATCCCGCTCAGGCTGAAAACTCTGTACTTGGAGCAGCACCTTGCCAAGCCGCGTGCCCGAGTTGAGACACGCAGCACCATACACAAGCACGCCAAAGGGAAAGCCATCCACCGAGGTTCTACGTCACCATGTCCAGGCCCGCCACGAAGCATCATCCACAACCAAGGAACAGAATTTCAATCTCTGTAAGTCGCTCCATCGGAGACCACCCCGAACCATGGGTAGGATACACCCCAACACCCAGACATCATCATCCGGGCAATCACACATGGCATGCTCCAACTCGGCGACCGCCCACAGCGGCAAGGGCAACGCTTTAGGGTTTAGGGTTTAGGGTTTAGGGCTTCGTCTGCCAAGCCTCTACTTCAGCACCGGACTGGATGTCGCTGAATGACTGCAGCCGCAGTTTGCAAGCAAGAAGCCGCAAAGACCCGACCGAGCCCTGGCCGACACTTTCCGTGCAGAACCTCTATCCGACGCTGCATGCACCGCTCGCCAGGCACATAGAAAATCAAGCACTGATGGCCGCCCTGGCATGTAAACCGAGGCCCAAGCCAACTCACACAAAGCTGAAACAGCCCATACCCAGGCGTACGCAGCAGAAAGAAGGCGCAAAGAAACAAGGACTTAAACAACCAGAACACACAAGCCCACGAGAAAATCTTTCTTTCAGCGAGAAAGATAACGCTTGCCACACATTTGTATATGTGGGGGGGGAGCCCCGAAAACCAACAAGCTGAACACCTAAACCAAAGCACAATAACACAAAAATCCCATCACAACACACATAGTATATAGCTAAGCTGACAACGAAAACTTCAAGAATTGGAATAGGACTTTGGTGACAGTATTAGCATACCCCGAAGTAAGAGTACTGTTCATCTTGCCGACCCCTGAATTATTTGCTCCATGAAGGTCAGTCGCTTCTTCGATGCTCTCGGCATTCATCGGGTGGACGAAAAGGACATGGCTGGCTGCTGTCCTCAGCTGTTTAGCTTAGCCAGCCACTTTGCCCTTCAAACCCCAAACAAGCATAATATGGCTTCCACCTAAAAGCAGAAGCCAAACAGTTGGAACATCAGTAACCTTGCCCCCTCAAGGTAATGTCGGGAGGATCCCGGCCCTGAGCATCGTGAACCCAAGTCCTAACTTGCTGAAGCTGGTTGTAACCTATTAGGACCTACTCCCTCGCAGAACATGAGCCCACAGTTAAAAACTACAGGGACCTTGTCTTTAAGCTGGGTCTTGCTCTAGGGGGAGGGTAGGGGGTATTTGGGATTGCAGCAACCCAAAAGCAAAGGACGCTTGCAGCTTTAAGTTCTACTGGTACGGTCTCCACGCAACCCCTATGGTCATCAAGAGGAAGGTGGGTTTAGGCATTGTTAGGCTTTCGTGCACGGCCCGATCAAGACGTAGAGTTTATGTGGTTTTGGTGGGTTTGTGGCTGATGGGCTCTACCTGAACCCTAAAGAACCTACCTTTTTAGGGTTCCTCATTATGATTCCCTTATAGAAGTCCTTAAAAAAGGTGGGTTACTTGGGCTAAGGTACAGCTATTTCAGGTGCCAGCGAAGCGGCTTACGACCCTGCATGCAGTCATGAACCCGACCCTGAACGGGTTAGGGTTTGTAAAGGGTTACTTAAAGGATCATGGGACTTATAGCAACTACGGTTATTATTAAGGCAACTATAGCCCCAACTAAGGTACTTATAACCACGCTTACTAAGTCCCATGATCCTCCAAGTAGACCCGAATCCCTAAACCATAAAGATCCCTGTAAGGAACCCTATAGATCCCTTTAAGGAGCCCTTCTAAGAACCTAACTAATTCCCATGATCCTCCAACTACTTGAAGCAGGCCGAATGGAGAAACCACCAGCCCAAATCGCGGAGGATGGCGCACCAAAAACTAAACACACAACCCCTGAAACAGCTACATTACAGTATTGGAGCCGAAAGAATGCGACGTGGGCTTGGGCACATGTTCTAGTAAAACTTAAACGGGGTATATTATAAGTGAGATCATGCCTATTTGTTCACCCGCCTATATTCTAAGCCCTTCCTGGGCCCCAAATAACCTACCTTTTTGAGGACTTATAAAAGTAAGTAAGGAAATCAGAATAGGGAGTCCACGTAACCCCACGAACCACTAAAGAGGTAACGACCCAGCCCTCCTCCAGAACTCAGCAACTCCTCTTCCAGAGCCTACAAACATAGACCAAGCACAACGATCCTCAAGGTCATCTGAAACCCTGAACCCCTAAACCCTAAATCCTCAACGATGAACCATGAACCCTGGACCCTGAACCCTCGACCGTGAACCCTAAATCCTAAATCCTAAACCCTGGATCCTCTTCAATGTTTTTAAGCCCCCCTACCCGGCGACCCCCAAGGGCCGTTTAACAGAGCTCTGAAGGTCCTTAAGTGGGTAGAGGTCGAAAAATGAAGGGATTTTTTTTTTTAGAGTTAGGGTTGGGGGGTCTAGTTCCGTGGGGGGTTGTCAAAACTATGGTCCTATTTTGGGTCCTTATTATAATACGGCACGTAATATTTAGGGTACCCGAAAAGGCCCCCTAATGTTGACAACCCCCCTCTGTTTCCCAAGCCTGGAGTCAGATTCGTGCCTGAGGCAGCCTTCTGCAGCGACAACACCAGCACATGAGGGGCAAATGCATCCTGCTCCTCCGGGGCTGGGGCTCAGGGTTTAAGGGTTTCAGTGGTTTTTGGCCTAGTGAAAGTATATGAAAATTCCACCAGATACAAGCAACCAGGGGAATGTGTGCTGAGCATGCATAGCACTAGGAACAGCTAGACAGGCAACGACAACTCCCGACAAGATTTTAACATGATAGTCGGGATACATGCATTGCCGCATTGCTTGTGCACAAAATCAAAATCCGGTAATACCTGAAGTGGCCTATGGGAGCGATATGGGGTGATGGTATATGCCCTGGATCAGAGTACATGCATGATTTTGGTCCATGAGCCGAAGCTATGACATTTGTCGCAATGTGGAAACTAGCATCTGACAGCGCATTCCCTCAAAGTACCGAACCTGTGGAGCTACAACGCGGCACCGTCCACGCTCGTGCAGGTTTGAGTGCCGCATGTAGGGTTTACGGCGGGCACTGCTTGAAGGCTCATGGGACTTAGTAAGTAAGGTTATAAGTAGGTTATAATTAGGAAATTAGGATAACCACACTTAGGGGACGTATAACCCTAATTATAACCTACTTACTAAGTCCCCTGATCCTCTAAGTAAACCCTAAACCTTAAACCCCATAGATCCCTCTAAGGAAGCCGATAGATCCCTTTAAGAAGCCCTTTAAGGAACCCTACTTACTAAATCCCATGATCCGTTAAGCCTGAGACACGTCGTAGCTGATTTTGCAGGGCAGCCAGTTGTTCGGAGAGTCGGATCGAAACCACCAGATAATGTAGAAACCTGATTAAGAAACCCGGGGCCTATAACCCTAAAAAAAGTAAGATTCATATAAGGAACCCTAAGAAAGGCCCAAGGTTTCTTAATCAGTTTCCTACAGTAGATGATTCAACAAGAAGGCTTCATTGAATGGCCTGAGTGGGGCTGATGTCTCCAGGCGTTTAAACAATAGACGCATGAACCTGGTTTCCACCTCAGAAGCTCACAACATGCGTACGAGTGGGAGGTTATGACCCTAAACTCGACATCCTAACCCTAAGCTTTTGTGTGTACATGTATGTACCTATGTAGGCATGCATGTATGTCGGCAGGGCGGAGGAAAGAAGCCGTTCGGCCTTGCCGTAAGCCATATCCAGAATCCTAGTGCGAGAAGGATTGCCAGTTGACTCTCATGGGCCAGAGTTTAACCCTAATTAAACCCTACAGCACAGCCAGTTTAAGGTCCACCCGCCTCTTCCCAACCCCAAACTCCCAAAACCTGAAGCCAGGGCATTGAGAAGACCCCATAGCCCTAAACCCGAAAACCCTCGAACCCTTGAGTCGATCCCTAAATCAAACGCTAAAGTCTACTAGTTATACAGATATAGAAGTACATAGTTATAAACATCGATATCTCAACCAGCACTATTCCCAAAGAGCGGAAAAGCACCGTTTCGGTTTAGGGTCCTCCCCTGTGCCTCCTGGAATCTTCGTAAGATCGCGCCATCTTGGATCTGCAGCTTCGCGCAGCTGGAGAGGCGGAGGAATTTCACTCCATGGTCCTGGAATCTAATGTAGGAACCTGATTGAGGAACCCGGGGCCTATAACCCCAAAATAGTAGGATTCAAACAAGGAGCCCTAATAAAGGCCCAAGGTTTCTTAATCAGGTTCCTACATTGCTATAGCACCTTTGTAGATCCCTTATACTAACTCTTATTGACCCCTTTATAAGGAACCCTAATAAAGGCCCAAGGTTTCTTAATCAGGTTCCTGCATTAGGAGATTTTGGGTTTAGGGGCTAGGGTTTGGGGTCTCGGGGTTCAGGGTTTCATGGTTCTTGGGTTGGAAGTGCACAGGGTTCTCAGAATGCCTCAGACTTTCAGAAGTGCCTTTCTGAATGGGATTTTCTGTGGATCCTTACATAGTTTATATAGTACAGAGCTATGTGTTCTTGGCAAGGAGCTGAGTTACTTAAGGTACCTGAGGTAGATAATTCTGGCAACTCCTTCAGTGTCCGGCTTCACGCTTTCGGGGTTGAGGGTGTAGGGTTTGGGGGCTTCGGGCCTAAGGCTCAAAGGACCAAGGGACATAGCAAATACGGATATGGGTAAGGTACGGTTGATGATATAAATCCTGCATTACCCATAGTAAGAAATATACCATTATTCCCATAGTCTGGGGTCCTTAAGGTGATGCAGGATTAATATCATCAACCGTAGCTCTACTTATTACGGCTCTTGGTCCCCAGTAGAAAAACCTCCCGTAACCCTCTCAGGACCCCATCCCACCCCTCCCCTAATGTAGGAACCTGATTAAGAAACCCTGGGCCTATAACCCCAAAATAGGGAACCCAAATAAAGGCCCAAGGTTTCTTAATCAGGTTCCTACATTAAACCCCAAGCCCCAAACCCCAAAGGCGCAAATCGGGTCGGTCCTGAACCGACTGGCTAAATCTTTTAAAAAGCCATACCCCGAATCCTCAGACCTGAAACGGATGTTCTTAGACATACCATGGATTGTTGGTTGGCTTTCCGAGGCGTCCTTATAAACCCGAAACCCGAGCATCTAAAACCTACCGCCTAAAGCCTGTTAGACTCTTAACGCTCTAGACCTCACACCCTAAAACTCCGTGCTGCAAGCACCGGACCAAACATACTACAGTTTAGGGTTTAGGGCTTAGGCAGACCCTGCCAACTACACTCCACACTTTGACGATCTGCACCCAGCCCCGCTTGACCCACGAAGTCCTGCAAAGCCATGCAGACCTTGTCCTCCAAGTCAGCCCACTGCACGAAAACCAGGGCTTTTGCCTGTGGCCGGGGCAGTGGGCTTTATGGCTGAATGGGCGGCAGTGGGGTTTAAGGGTTTAGGGGTTGGGGTTTAGGGGGAGGTTGTTTCGGAAATGACGGGCCGGAGGACGACCATATTAACTTAGCCACAGGCCAGACTAATCCTGCTAGAGGTTGGTAGCGGACGTCGCAGTGGTAGTCGTGGTTGTCGTGGTAGGTAATCGTATCAGTAGCAGCATGGAGCTTCTGTGTGTCATGCAGGCATGCAGGTAAGCCTCTCGTCCTAAGCAGGTCTGAGAACACAAGAGATCTCTGAGCTTCCAACCCCGGGTTTCGGCTTTAGGCTTTGGGGTTCAGGCTTTAGGGTACAGGGCCGAGAGTGCAGGGTCCTGAGTTTTCAGGGCAGGGGGTTGAATTGGAACTCAGCTATGTACTCGTGTCCGGAAACAAGACATGCAAACAACATACATGCAACATAGGACCCTCCCTTCCCCCTATGCTGATTACATCATAGGGAACCTTGGGGGTTCACGAGGAGGGGGGTAGGGGACTATACTTCCTCAAATAGGCCCCTATAATGGGGCATTAAGGCCCCCTACCCCCCCTCCCCTTACCCCCTAAGGGTCCCTATGATTACACAGCAGTCCGAAACCTGGTTCGGGCTTTTTGTGGTCGACGGTCTCGGGTGCAGGGCTTAAACCCATGCAGTGCGTCAGTGCTACAATACCCTTCAGCATGAACAGTACCGATACTCGAGCCCGGAACCCTTTTAGACACCCGAAAACTTCAGGGTTCGCTTGCCCACGCTGTACTTCTCGAGTACATGGACCCTTAAGGCCTTAACCTTAAATCCTAAACCCCTAAACCCCCCAAAACCCTCAACCCCGTAGCCCTAAACTGCCCTAAACCTGTGGAACCCTAAACCCAAGTCCTAACCCTTATCCGACTATTTTGAACCCTAATGTAGGAACTAGATTAAGATAAACCTTGGGCCTTTATCAAGGTTTCTTGTATGAACCCTACTATTGTGGAGTTCTAGGCCCAGGGTTTCTTGATCAGCTTCCTACCCTCAACCCGGCCCTCAACCCCCTAACCCTAAACCCTAATACCGAGTCCCAATCCTTCCTACATCAAACCGTCAATCCGGCCCGAAACCCTCAACCCCCCTAACCCTAAACCCTAAACCCTCAACCCCGTGATCCTAAACCCTAAACCCGAGTCCTAACCCTTAGCCGACTTGTTTGGACACCCCAACCCGGCCTCTGATTATACTGCTGATGGACAAAAATCCTGCAGTACCCATTATAAGGAATATACCATAATTCCCATAATTTAGGGTCCTTAAGGTCATGCAGGATTTTGTCCATCAGCAGCAGTACACTTATACATCCCTTATAGTAGCTCTTATAGAACCCTTTGAAAGGCCCCAAATAAAGGTTTCTTAATCAGCTTCCTACAGGAAACTATACTGAACTTAGAACCCTAGCAAAAATTATAATTTTTAGCTGTTTCTTAGGGATTATAATGACCAAAAATCAAAAAACTTCCTAAGTACCCCTGAGGAAACTCTCAACCGGCCTCGACGCTCTGCAATCGGATTTGTTTGAGGCGCCGGGCCACGGCGTTCAGCTTGGAGCCGTGGCGCTTCCAGGCCTTTCGGTTCTGGGTTTAGGGTTTAGGGTTTTGGGTTTAGGGTTTTGGGTTTAGGGTTTATTTAGGATCTCTCCGGCGTGACGCTCAGTACTTGCAGACGCATGGGTGGCTTTGAGTGGGGTCATAAGTGCCCTAATACGGGTTATAATTCTATACAGTTATTCTACTTCTAACTACCCATGAGCCTCCAAGTAGGGATGTTTGAGGAGCTTACATTGACTTTAAGGTTCACGGTCTGGGGTTTAGGGTCTGGGAGTTAGGGTCTAAGTGTCTGTGTGAGGATCTTATAATATGGATCCTGTACTTGGAGGATCATGGGACTTAGTAAGTATGGTTATAAGTACCTTAATTGGGGTTATAAGTATAGTTACCTTAATAATAACCGTAATTACTAAGTCCCATGATCCTTTAAGTAGAGACCAATGGGTCTCATGAGGATTATGTAGAAATCTCATACGAAACCAAGAACCTGCATAAGGATGTAATGAAGGTCTTGTATGGGTTTCATAAGGGCTATAGCGCTTCCAGAAACAAGTTTAGGGTGGTTGTGAGACTTGGATATGTAGACCGTCCTGCAACTCCATGGGAGGTCAGATAGCAAAACCGACATCCGGCCCCTAATAGTTCGGGTGCAGCGGAGGGTAGATAGAGGGTCATGTGTATATGTGTGTGTGTGTATATGTATATATATGTATATATGAATGTATATATATATATATAATATTATATATATATGTCTATGTATACATCGTATATACATAATAGTACCCTAGAATACGGGTTTCAGGCTTCTGTATCACGGGCTTTCAACAGGTGCAAGCCTTGAGTTGAAGGCTCTATAGTGCACAGAAGGATCCGGTGTGCTCTACGCCTCTAACGTAGTCGTAACAGGTTGCTACTCTGTTTGATAACTGGCCTGGCTTTACCCTGAAAACACTTGAACACTGCATCCCAAACCCAAAGCCCAATTTCCGAACCCAAGCCTCCGCACGTAAACATCCGAACTAAACGTTGAAGCGACGAAACGTCGTCATTCAACAACAAACACAATATAAAATCCGGAAGAAAACCCCAAACCCCTTTATACAATCCGATACAACCCTAGACGCCGACCCATCCAAAACCCAAACCCTAAACCTGAAAACCTAAACTGCCTGGGACATGTCAGGATCCCGAGGCAGCTGTGGCTGGACGGGTTCAGGCTCGCGCCTGAAGCTGGCGGTATAAGAACCAGGGCTTTGGGCTTACATAGGCTTACCCATAGCCCCAAAGTAGCTCCTTTTGGGGATTATCTTATAGGGTTCTAAATATGAACCACACAGCGGAACTACTGTGGGGCCTTAGGATACCATGATTCGAAAAGCCATATCAATCAAGCCAGAAAGAGGCAGAACTCGAAAGTAAGAGCGGAGGTCGTCAAGCTGTAAAGCTGAGAGTAGCAAGAAGAGAAGAGGGGCCTATTTTGGGTTGTAGGAGGCTTTTGGGTGTTGCTTCTCCCAGGGTCGTGAATGCAGTGTTCAGCGCTGCAGGGGTTGCAACCCCTGAAGCTTGCTGGGTTCAATGCTCACCCTCTCCACTCACAAAGGGCCTGGTCCTTTTGCTCTAACAGTCGTTCTGTGGATCTATAACTCTATAACGGTTTGGGGTTTAGGGTTTACCCTAAACCTTAAACCGTGAAAGGCTACGACAGGACTCAGGATTCGGCTTTAGCGCTTCGGAGTGTGGCGTTTTGTCTTTATGTCACGTTGGATTTAGGGTTTCGGGTTTCGGCTTCGAACCTTATACGTAAAGATCGCGGCAGACGGCTTCGGCGTAGCATCCGTAGTTCTTCTGACTTCACAGAAGCAGTGCACATATAAGATAGTACAGTATTAACATAATATGATACAACACAATATAAAATGATGTATCTTAGTTAACATATATGGATATGGCCCGATATATAAGCATTGGAAACATGTATATGGAAGTCATAACATACAACATAGGATCAGATACATGTTCTACGATATTATAGATCATAATCTCGTCTAACATAGTACACTTTAACACCGTCCAATATTATTGTGCAGTATTTTACAATATGGTCTGACACGGTAGGATCGTGTAAAACATGAATTTAGTAAAACACAACATCGCATAGTATAACTCAATATAGTTGTTTTACAATCATAACAGACCTGTAGTATAAGATGTTTTAAGTCTTATTGGGTCCGTCTCCTCCTACCTGGTACTCTTGGGTGTGGGAGAACTGTACTATGCGGCCGGAAACGACTTGAATCTGGATGGGCGTTGCCGGGTATCTGTGCCATACTGGTATGTCTTCAACATCTGGATGCTTGGCGCTTCTGTCCCTAAAGGGCGAACAGCGCCAACCCCTGCGCCCTGCAGTCAGACAGCCAAAAGCCCTCGTCTTTGTGATTATGATTAAAATAAAAAAATGGAAACGTGTCGATGAGCCCCAAGGTCCGGCGATGTTTTCGCCTTTTTGAGTGGATTTTGGCTTCTTCGCTTCCCCCCCCCCCTCTCCCACCCCTCCCCCCCCTCCCCCCCCTCCCCTCCCCCGCCCCCCTCCCCCCTCCCCCCTTCCCTCCCGCCCCTCCTCCGCTCGCTGACAGGTGCGAGCTTTCTGGAGTTTTCGACGACACGGGACTGCAATGTAGCATCTTTATGTGCGTCTCAGGCTTGTTTTAGACGCCCTTTCGTTGGGATAGGCGGAGTAACGTGGTTGAAAAGGCTGTGGTGCTTCCCTAATCCAAGACGCCCACGAAATCCACAGCCTCAACGGCCCATACTTAAGGCATCCCGCCGCTTGCGAGAGTCTTGGTATCCAGTGTTTCGGAATGACGACACCAAAAATCGTACTGATACTACCACTACTAATACTACTCACAATCATCCTGCTTCGTGTTGCTATGAACATTACTTTTACTATAAGTGCGATTCCAACTGTTACTTTTTTCCTACAAGAGCTTGCTGCAGATAGTAGCCACTCGCCGCATGCGCGTACAGCCGGGCCGAGGCGGACGACGCGCAGCGTTTCAAATCATTACCGCCCTCCTCCTCTGCAACCGAAACATTGCTTGCGAGGTAGAGCTGGAATCGGCGAGTCCCGAAACTGGCTGCAGCTGGGCGTCAACTCCATCACCACCTAGGTCGGCGGGTTTAGGGTGCAGGGTTTAGGGAGTGTCACCCTGAGAGAAAGCTTTGCCTGTTGTCGAGGTATTCAAGGGAAGCTAGGATACCCAGTAACCTAAGAATAAAAAGGCCTCTCTTTTTGGTATTGGGTAACTTTATAAGGAACCTAGGACTACAAAAAGGGAATAAGGGTACTACTGGGCATCCTAGGAAGCAAAAAAGAACAACGGTGTGACTTGGGGAACCGAGCTACGGAAGCGATCTCCGATAGCTTGAGTGGTGCCCGGCATTCTGGACAGAATGGGTTTTTCTGGAGGACCTGCGCAGGTTTGAGTGCTTCAGGGTTAGAGGCTTCAGGCAGGTTGAGTCTTTCTTCGTTTCGGACTTTCGGGTCTAGGGCTTCCATTGCAACGTGATTTGAGGGCTTGGCTTTGGCTGTGCTGCCCATTTGTTCAGGGCCCAAGTTTTTGGGCTTTGCGGTCTACGGCTTTAGGGCTTTGGGGCGGTGTGTAGGGATGACCCTATAATCCTATAACTCTTGACCCTCCACCGTAAGACTTGTCATTAGCCGTGAACTCGGCAACCTTAACGACACAATAGATCGCCCCATGCCTCTAGCGGAAACCACCACAATGAAACACATTGACCCCTACTCGAGCTGTCCGTAGCCGTACCCTTGCTGGATGCTTTAGGTAGGTATGACTATAGCTCTGACTTACAGGGAACTCCAGAAAGTTGGAATATGGTTTCATGGTAGGATACCCTATAATTTACCATAGAGGGGTTAGGATAATCATATTCCAACTTTCTGGCTTTTACCTTATCACCGTCTTTACGAAGTCCCATGATCCCATGAGTACAACCCCCTGCAAGCCTAAAATCCAAAGGGGCTCCCAAAGCCGCCCAGCAAGGGTAAGGGTTTAGGGTTTAGGGTTTAGGGTTTAGTTTTCTTCTGCGGATTCTTGAAGGAGTCTGCTCCGTAAACCTACACCGAATGGGCTGCTACGCAGCCTCCAACGAAAGATGGAGAAGCCTTGTCTCCAAAACCGAGACGTCCGACTGTCCTCTGCGAAGCCTACCACGAAAGCCCTGTAACCCCTAAGCCTCAAACTCAATTTTGGAACCCTTTAAGGATCCCATATAGAACCCCTTTAAAAAAGCTACTACTACTCAGGAACCGAGCAATAGACTTCAGAAGAAGACCCGGGGCTCCAACAACTCTGCGTAGCCCTATATCATAAACCCTAAGCATCGGGTTTAGGGTTTTGGTTTGGGGTTTAGGGTTTTGGAGTTTAGGGCTTAGGGTTTAGGTACCCCAGCTTTCGAGATTTCACCCCGCCCACCTCGCGGATGCACGCGGTGTGGAAAATGTGGGAGCATGGCCTGGCAAGGAAGACAAGCAGTGCAAATAAGTGTTTGTCAAAATTATGGTCCTTTTTTTGCTCCCTAATATAATACGGCACTTGATATTTAGGGTACCCAAGAAGGGACCCTAATTTTGACAAATACCCCATCCGTTGAAGGTGCACTATTTGATTATGTGCTTTGAAGACTAGTCGTCGAAGTAGTAGTAGTAGTAGTAGTAGTAGTAGTAGTAGTAGTAGTAGTAGTAGTAGTAGTAGTAGTAGTAGTAGTAGTAGTAGTAGTAGTAGTAGTAGTAGTAGTAGTAGTAGTAGTAGTAGTAGTAGTAGTAGTAGTAGTAGTAGTAGTAGTAGTAGTAAGTAGTAGTAGTAGTAGTAGTAGTAGTAGTAGTAGTAGTAGTAGTAGCAGTAGCAGTAGTAGTAGTAGTAGTAGTAGTAGTAGTAGTAGTAGTAGTAGTAGGATCCTCCATCCCCGAATCTCTCGTATAGCAACATGACCCCAATGCCCCTAAACCCAAAAGTCACCCAAAAACCTCAAAGCCTAATGCCCAAAACCCTCAAACCTCCAAGCCCCAAACCACAAGACCGAAGCTAGTCAGCTAGTCGAAACTTTTGTAGATTGTAGAACCCTTAACCTTATCATCGCACCTAGACAACCCTTCACAGGAACCCTGATACAGCCCTTACAAAATCCCTGTAACAATGCCAAGAGGCTATAGCCTATAGAACCGTTTGAAGGAACCCTTGTAAAGCCCCAAACCCTGAACCCCTAAACCCTGCACCTTAGAACCCTAAACCCTAAACCCCGAGACAAAACCCACAGTGCCAAGCAGCTATTACCCTTTTTCGGAACCCGTCTTTCGCCACGAGTATAGAAACTGAACTTGGAACCCTAGCCAAAAATTACAATTTCAGCTGTTTCTTAGGGATTATAATAACGACAAATTCAAAATTATTTCTAAGTATCCCTAAGTATTGAGCAAAACCAGCCAAGAAGCAGGATGGACCATGCACCCAGGTCCGACGCGGACTCCAGGCAAATGGAGCACTCGTGTTCCTTTCCGGGCTTGGTGTGTTCTTACTGGTTTAGGGTTTTAGCGGTTTAGGGTTTGGGTTTGGGGTTCAAGACTTTAGGGTTTAAGGGTTTAGGGGTTCGGGGTTTAGGGTTTAGGGTCTCAGGTTTGAGGTTTAGGGTTTGGTTTTTACTACAGGAAAACAACTTAATCAGACAATAATCTTGTGGTTACTATTTTTCCCCTGTTCATTTTCGTCTTGCTATTCGTCTGGAGAAGATGTTCGATAACAATTTGCTTACTACTCTGCCGGTTTTGCAAAGGAAAATCTTTATTCTACCATGGTGACTACTACGCTTTAGCTCTGAGGGGTGTGCATGAGGAAACCCTGAATACCGAACCGCAAGCCCCAAGGCTTCAACTTCAAACCCGAGGCCCAAAACCGTAAGCCCAGAGCCGTCATGAACCCGCACACCCGAAACCCCCGTAAGCCCAAAACCGTCCTGAGGCCGCACACCCTAAACACCCTGCCCAGAGACTCCAATATTCCTTAATTAAGCCATATTCCTTAAATTATGGTAGGATCCCTTATATGATTTAAGGTATATTCCTCAATTAAGGGATATTGGAGTCTCTGGGTGAACCCCTGAACCCGAAACACGAAGATGTGCCTCGGCCGTGCCCTGCGCGCAGCTCAGCTGCTTCAGCTGCTGCTCGTAGAACTGCACGCTGCGGTGTGCCTTGTCCAGGAGCCTCTCGAGACTAAGCTACGGGCTCCTTTCACTGATTCCTTTCTGGGATCCCTGACTTGTAGTGCTTCTTCAAGGGTTCTATAAGAGGGTTTAGGGTTTAGGAAAAGTTTAAGGTCCTTCTACTCATAGATGCGAGTATACGTTCCTTAATTGAAGGAATCTAGGGCATAATGAATTCGCGGCCTGTGGGGGTTGAGCGTTGTGTGCCGTAGGCTTGCGTAGGGACCTCAATAACATGAAAAGGCTTTGGGTGTAAATTTTACGATCGATTATGGTTACATGACGCCGATAAGGGGATGCTAGAAGTATGCAGACCCCTCTAAAATGCGGGGGCCTACCGGGTTTCCCTCTCGGCTAATTTAACCCCCCCCCTAAACCGTATTCTAACGACTTTGGCCCCTATACTACACCCTGACGGTGGTTTCTTTTGGTTTTGTGGTGTTTTGGATATCAGGCCTTCAACCCCCTGAGTCAACACACACCTACAGCCGCCGTGGCACATCCACCGCTCAAAGCTGAAACGACGAACCTCTGCTGGCTTGGGGTTTAGGGTTTAGGGGGTAGAACCCTCATAGGAAGGCCCGAAATCCTAAACCCTTAAGAACCCTACCCTACCCTAAACCCTAAGTCCCGAAATCCCCCCAAACTCCCTGAACCCACACCCTGAACCCTAAACCCTAAGAGCCTGACCCCATCACTTTAATCCCTGTAAACCCAGAAAGGAAACCGGAAACGCCGCCGAGGAGCTTCATGAGCTCGCAAATGCCTCTGGCAAATGCCTCTCTTTCAGGTTCACTACCCAGAGGCTCCATAGTAAGGCCCATGGGGTTTAGGGTTTAGGGTTTTCGTAGGGTTTAGGAAGGCCCATGGGGTTTAGGGTTTAGGGTGTTAGTAGGGTTTAGTAAGGCCCCATAGTAGTTCCTTTTTGGGATTACCTTATATATAGGATTCGATATATGAACCCCGAAAAGGAACTACTTCGGGGCCTTTGGGTAATTCATCATCGACGAATGTGGGGGACTTAGAAATTAGTGTTTTGGAGCATATGTTGGTATAGGTCGATTGAGAACGCTCAGGACTGCTACTACGAAATATGCAAGCCTTCTATGTCATCTGCTGCTCTTTGCGCATATTGTTGCTTCGTTGCACACCTCTTCTTACTGATATAACTACTGGTTGCTTGCTGTTGCCATTAATGCTCTCGGAGAGGTCTCCGGGTGCACATGAGGGCTTCGGGCCTGGGGTAGGAGTCTGATCGACCACAGCTCGAACCACCACTGCCGGAAGTGCCCACGCTGACTTGCGCAACATCGTCCCCGAGCCTTCCTTCCAACAAGACCCGCCGAAGTTTCTGCAAATCAAGGAAGCCAGGGGTCCTTTGTTTATGGGCCCTGGAGCCTTATGATCACAATCCTTCTATCGCATCATGAGGGTCACTAGAGTCTCTACTTTCCATAAAACCTAAACATAAACATAACTCTGCAATACCAAGCCCAAACCCATAAACCCTAAACCTCAACAGGACCCCAATCCCATAACCCTCACCAGGAAACGTGATAATACGACAAATGAGGCCCAAACCTCCGCACGTCCTAAACCCTAAACCCTGAACCCTAAACCCCTAAACCCTAAACCCTAAACCCTAATCCCTAAACCCTAAACCCCTATATAAACCCTAAACCCTGAACCCTAAACCCTAAACCCCTAAACCCTAACCCCTAGACCCTAAACCCTGAACCCTGAACCCTAAACCCCTAAACCCCTAAACCCTAAACCCCTAAACCCTAATCCCTAAACCCGAAACCCTGAACCCTAATCCCTAAACCCCTAAACCCCTAAACCCCCTAAACCCCTCAACCCTGGAACCCTCAGTCCGGCCTTCTTCAGCCGATTCCCCTTCGCTGCAAGGCGGTCGCAAGAGTTCTCGCAGATTGCCAGCTCGCCGAGGGCAGCATCGGCCTCTGAGGAGGTAGGGTTTGGGGTTTTGGGTTTAGGGGTTTAGGGGCTTAGGGGGTTTCGGATTTAGGGTATGGATGCTTTGGGGTTTGGGGTTTAGGGTTTATGGTTTCGGGTTTATGGTTTCGGATTTAGTGTTTATGGTTTCGGGTTTAGGGTTTTGGGCTACCTTGGCATGGCAAGCTGGCGGACGACGGTTTGAGGACGGTGCCCGAGTGACTGGCCCGAGTGCCACCACGACATGTCCTGATCGACAGACACTGCCTGAACACCTCGGTGGTAATGTTCTGCATGTTTCGGATGTTCTTTGTCTTTTCAACTCTGCCTTTGCAATTTTTCTGCGACAAAAAAAGTGGAAGCGGAACACGAAACTCATTCAGGCCCTACTTCGAGTGGTTGCGGGTGGTTCCACGGTACCACACCACTCGATGGGTGGGTCTGTGACACACCTCAAGCCCTAATCTAACGTCACCAGAAGTAGGCTTAGCTTGGGTTTGGACGGCCTCCCGATGGCGGGCTCGCTTCGCCACGGCATGGACGACGAGATGGCGCTGCGCAGCGTCAGTGTAGTACTCCTCCTGGACCCAGAAGCTCTAGATTTGCTGAACCGCAAATCCCAAGCCCTAAGTCCTAAGCGCCAAGCCCAAAGCCCCACGCCATAAACCCTAAACCTGGCTCTGATCCCCAAGCATCAACAGGACAATATAGTCCTCCGTACTGCTGCTATGATGCTACCACTAGCACGACGACGACTACTGCTACTGCTACTGCTGCTGCTGCTCCTGCTCCTGCTCCTTCTACTGCTAGTGCTAGTGCTACTGCCGTGCTACTGCTAGTGCTACTGCTAGTGCTACTGCTACCACCACAAGGCCATTCCCACTCTCACTCACGCCGACACTACCACTCGCACTCCCACTCCCGCTACCACCACTACGGCTGCTACTTCTAGATCACGGGGCTGCAGGGTGAGTGGGTGTGTACGTTTGTGGGCATCTCCAAAACACCATGCCTGCCGATGTTTCGACTACTTCGTCCAGAAAGGCTTGTTCTTTGTCCAAGACTTCTTTCACTCTGTGCTTTTTGTTGGTTGCTGTTTCAGCCTGCCGGATGCAATCGAATAGATTTTTCGTCGTCCGTCAGAATGCAAAACCCTAAACCCTAAAACCCTAAAGCCCTAAAGCCCAAGATCACATCAGTCTTTGGAGACCCTGGAAATCGGCAGCCTTAGGCGAGACAACGGAAGTTCTGGCAAGCGTGGTGGTTTTTGAGAATGGCACAACGATAAAGCAGTAACTCCAGGAGCAACGTTCATGATCATGCCCCTCCACCCCAGACCCTGCGGTAGCACGAAACTACCGGGCGCCTCGCAGCGCCTCGCAGCGCCGTGAGCAGCTGCCGCAGCTGCTGCTGCTGCTGCTCCCTCCTCACCCTCCTCCTCCTCTTCCAACTACCACTACTACTAGTACTACTAGTACTACTAGCACTACTAGTACTACTAGTACTACTAGTCCTACTAGTACTACTAGTACTACTGGTACTACTAGTACTACTAGTACTACTAGTACTACTAGTACTACTAGTACTACTAGTACTACTAGTACTACTAGTACTACTAGTACTACTACTACTACTACTACTACTACTACTACTAGTACTACTACTACTACTACTACTACTACTACTACTACTACTACTACTACTAGTACACTACTACTACTACTACTACTACTACTACTACTACTACTACTACTACTACTACTACTACTACTACTACTGCTACTGCTACTGCTACTGCTACTTCCACCACTGCCACTACCACTACCACTACCACTACCACCACCACCACCACCACCACCACCACCACCACCACCACCACCACCACCACCACCACCACCACGACCACTGCCACTACCACTACCACTATCACAACCACTACCACTACTACAATCACTACCACTACGACTACTCGGTCTTCTTTCGTACCAATGCCACCACCATCACCAGCACCAGCAGCACTGGAAGCACCACTAGGACCAGGACCAGCCCCACCACAGCCATTAGCAGCACTGCTTATAAACTGCACCCAAAACCCTAAACCCTGAACCCTAAACCCCCTACAGTATTTCCTGTACCTAAAACCCTAAACCCTAAACCCCCTACAGTATTTCCTACCTCTCGGCCCGCTGTCCGTCCTCCGGTATGGGCTGCACAAGGCGAGCCACGGGTCTCTGGCGCAGTTCCCCATCCTGGCAGGGTTCACCTAAACTATTTTGGGCTTCCTTATACATAAGGCTCAGGGTTAAGGGTTTAGGGTTTAGGGGGTGCGCTTTCAGTTTTATTGTGGGTAACATTATCCCGAAAAGTGTGAAGTGTATCCACTCCGCTGCTAAGTCTAGCGCCTTATCCCGGCATTAACTGCAACGGTTTCAAAGTTAGCTCCCGAATCAATTAGGGTAGACTCTGTGGCCTTTCCCTTAAAGGTCAGGCTCCCCTAAACCCCTGTCTCTAACATAGACGCCTTCATAATTAGAATAGGGTTTTGGGGCCCATTTTACTATAAATATAGTAATTAAGGACCCCCCCTCAAACAAAAAAGTCTGTATAGGTAATTATTTAGGCGGTCGCCTGCGTCTCCAGGTTTACGCGAAGCCGCAAGCACAACCGCAGTGCCGTCTCTTCTGCCTCAGGTGCCGTCTCTTCTGCCTCAGGTGCCGTCTCTTCTGCCTCAGGTGAGGTTTAGTGTGTAGGGCTCTAGAGTTCAGGAGTTCGGGGTGTAGTACCTGGGGTGAAGTTCACTGCTCGGTTAGCTATGAAGTAGCAACTACTAACTAGCAGCAAAAGGTGCCAAATTCAGGGTTCTAAACTACTTTATTCCTTCCACTCATCAGGCTCGTCACGCTTATGCTGATGACCACCGACTGCCACCATCACCATCCTCATCCTCATCACCACCATCATCTCCGTCTGTGACAAGTGCGGCTGTTGGCGGCTGATCTTATTGCTAGATTGATACCTGGCCTCCCTGCTCCCGAAAATCTCTCAAACAGAGCTTCCGTCTTGCCGGCGCCAAGCCTCCGAGTAGTACCCAAGGCCACGATCGCCCAGCTTGAAGACGCAGTTTGGCCTTGAACCTGCTAGGCTCACGAAAGAAGACTTGGAATCTCCATATAGTATAGTAGAGTAAAATAAAGTCTAGTAAAGTATAGTAAAAATAGTATATAGTATAGTGCAGTGAAGTATGGTAAAGTATAGTAAAGTATAGTATAGTAGAGTATATATAGTATAGTATACAGCTCACGTCAGCCCCATGAGAAGCAGATACATAGTCAAGAGCCTCTCTGAGCTCAAGCGCATCAGCTAGACTTTCCCGACCCCACACGGAAGTGCTCATGCGCCCCGAGTCTTGTATAAAAAGACCATGTTCCCCAAAACTAACTTGAAACCCAAAACCTCGTGGCCCAAAACCATCGCTGGCACCTTGGAAGCGTTCCGACGGAGTGAAAGCTGCAGGCTTGGCAACCGCCTCGCATGCAACGGCTGTGCACGTGTGGCGGCGTTCTTGCAATTCAGCAGACGCGTGAGAGTATCACTCTTAGTAGCGTACTGGCAGTGCTTGCAGAAGTGGATGTCGCGGTGGTAATGGTTAATTACCAACGCAGGCCTAATGGTTGTCGTTTCTCACAGCATCAGTTGCATTCTGAGATGCTTCCTTGTAACAGTTGCAACTTTTCTCGCTGTTGTAGGAGCCATCGGAGGTATTTAGTTCATGGTTGATAGGTCGTGGTCACCATGCGTGTCTCTGGAGCATGTTAGACGGGCTCAAGGCCCACGGCGCGAGATAACACAACAACACGGGTGCAAGATGGCGCACGTGGGTGGTTGTCAAAATTATGGTCCCTTTTTGGGGTCCTTGTCATAATACGGCACCTAATATTTGAGGTACCCAAAAAGGGACCCTAATTTTTGACAACTACCCATGTGGGTGTCTGGCCCATGTTTCGAGGCCGCGAATCTGCTGAGCTACTTTCAAGTCGATGAACTCGGACTGACCGCTCCCGTTGCCTTCGCTTTGGTTGCAAGGCGCCTCTTCGCCGGAATCGGTCAGAGCCTTCAAGTTTCGATGCAGCAACTCCTGCAAGATCGCAGAACTTACCTTAAGTTAGTAGGGAATGGAGGAATGGGGTATACTTATAACTACTATTACTACCATTCTTCCATTCCCTACTAACCAAAGGTAAGAGAAGGGGGTCGAAACCATGGCTTCCTTGTCGTAGTGCAGGGCCCTAAACCGTAAAACCAGAAGCCCAAATCCATGCAGCTTCAATGCCCTACTCATCCTCAGAATGGCCTTGTCCATACATTCCCGACCCGAAGAATCGCATTTTGTCCATACACTCCCGACGCTACTATCCAGAACGCGAAGGACATGTAGTCTATACTGAACTTGGAACCCTAGCAAATATAATTTTAGCTTCTGAAGGATTATAATAAGCAAAAATTGAAAACTATTTCTAAGCACCCCTAAGTAGTGCGTGATGTCGGGTTGTCTATGAACAGACCGGGCCTTCTGGGCCGTTCAGACGCAGACCCGAACACCCCGAGGCATGTTCTCAAGTCGATAGCAAGGGTTTTATGGTTTAGTGTTTAAGCGATCAGGGTTTAGGGGTTTAGGGTTTAGTGTTTAGGGATTAGGGTTTAGGGGTTTAGGGTTTAGTGTTTAGGGATTAGGGTTGAGGGGTTTAGGGTGTAGGGTTTAGGGATTAGGGTTTAGGGGTTTAGGGTGTAGGGTTTAGGGATTAGGGTTTAGGGGTTTAGGGTTTAGCGTTTAGGGATTAGGGTTGAGGGGTTTAGGGTGTAGGGTTTAGGGGTTTAGGGTTCAGGGATTTAGGGTTTAGGGTTCAGGGTTTAGGGTTTAGGGTTTAGGGTTTACACACTTATTTTTATGTGAGCCGTTGGACAGACGAAACAAGATCACCTGCTTACTGTGTATGCCATGTATGTACATGAACGTGTATGCAAGCATGGATTCATTGATGCATGGAAAGATGCAAGGAAGGAGGGTGGATGTACACATCAATGAGCGGAACACTGTCTCTGAGGTACGCGGGAGCTGTACCAAGGCACATTTTCGCGAATTTATGCCGTGTAGCCGAACCTTATCATAGTCTCTTTCACGGTATGGAGATGCAATTGCGAGGGCTTCAAGGAAGATTCCTACAGTTCAAAATGCGTGTAACCCGTACCAAATACTTGCAGCCCTACTTATGACTTACCATGGGCTTTCAAACAGCACGTCACCGCTCCTATACTGAACTTAGAACCCTAGCAAAAAATCTAATTTGAGCTGTTTCTTAGGGATTATAGTGACCAAAAATTAAAAGTTTCTTAGGGATTATAGTGACCAAAAATTAAAAGTTTCTTAGGGATTATAGTGACCAAAATTTAAAAACTATTTCTAAGTACCCCTTAGGCTCCTCGCTAGAGGCCGAGAACATCTCCTCAAGAAGTGCCGTGACCTTTGCCAGGGAGCTTTCCACCCAAAGAGCCCAATACCACAGAAGGGGCCCACACCCTGTAATAGTGGTATAATGGGAATATAGTAGGGCCCTAATATAATCCTTATAGTCACTATTACAGGGTGGGGGCAGCTTCTAACCAATACCCTGTAGTCAAGGAATAACCTGTCAGCTGTTATAAGAAGCCCTATGTAAGTATACTTTAAGCATCTCTACAGAATCAGACTTGTTTAAGGGGTGCCCCGAATTCCCAATGCCAATGCCTCAAGGCCCCAGAGCCCGAAACCCTGAAGCCCCAAAACGCCCAAGTCCGAAGACGCCCAGTCCCTAAACCCCAAAGCCCTAAACACCTAAACTCCTACCGCTCCAAATCTGGAAACCCCAAACTCCAAGTCCTGAAACTAGACCCTAAGACCTCAAACGGTTCAGGGTAAGCCCTACTTGAAGGCTCATGGGACTTAGTAAGTAAGGTTATAAGTAGGTTATAATTAGGGTAACCCCAGTTGGGGGACTTATAACCCCAATTATAACCTACTTACTAAGTCCCCTGATCCTCTAAGTAAACTCAGCTCGTTCTCTGGCGAGCGGCCTCCGGGTGGGAGGGGGGCAGTTCATCGCGAACTTTTGCCTTGACTTCCTCAAGGGGAACCATCGTGGGGTTACTTTGAGGCAAGTAAGGGCTTCTTAAAGGGATCTAGCGGCTTCCTCAGAGGGATCTATAGGGTTTAGGGTTGAGGGCTTATAGTAGAGGACCATGGGACTTAGTAAGTAGGTTATAATTGGGGTTATAAGTTCCCTGAGTGGGGTTATCCTAATTATAACCTACTTATAACCTTACTTACTAAGTCCCTTGAGCCTTCACGTATAGTAGAAGCCCAAAAGTTGGAAACCCAATAGCCGCAATCCTTAAGAATAATGAGAAGGGAATCCCAGCACTATTTGGCCTTAATCCGATTTCACACTTTATGGGGTTTACTGCAAATATAGAGGAACCCTTGTAGAACTCTTAAAGGAACCTTTCAATGAGTCCTTGTAGCAACTCTTACAGGAGCCCCATTTACGAGACCGGGTCGCTGTATGAGTGTGCTTTTTCAGCGTTGTGGTAACAGTTGCTTCAGCAAGGGTTTTCCATAATAAGTTAGATGAGGAGAATAGTGTCCGGCTTCGTCAAGAGAAGGGGCCTGAATAGCTAGAATAGAGAGCTAGAATAGAGATTGAGAACCTATGCATGATACTATATCTATCACGAAACTGTAAGAGAATGTTATACCCTAAACCCTAAACCCTAAGCCATCCAACGAGGTTGCTCAAAGGTCTCCCGTAATAGTTCTAGGTTCTAACAACGAGGGCTCGATACAGGGGTTTCCGAAAATGGGGGACCCTAATCTAGCACCCTAAATAGTAGGATCCTTATTGTAAGGTACCCCATGTTACCCCTTGTTTTCGGAAACTCCCATAAGGATTCTGCATTAGGGTTCAGGGGAGTTTGGGGCGTTAGGACCGTCGGGTTATGTTTCAAGCAGGTCAGTAGATTTGATATGGTCGTCATCGTGGAAGGGTTCTGGTGGTCTAGTGTTTATTGATCTCTAATTAAGTTATCAAACGTGTCTCTCCAACTTGCTTGGCTCCAGAGTTCAATCTCTACAGGGTTTGTACGGGAAGTGCATATGTCAGGCTGCTTTAAGTTACGAAGCTTCTTGGTAAGCCACTGATGAATACACCCACGCCGTTGACAAACCTTCTAACAGGGATCCCATGATTACGGCCACACAGGGCTCTACATTAAAGAATTAGTTCATGCAGTACGGAATTGAGGGTTCGGGATTTCAAGCGATGTCATGCGGCAGAGCCCTCTGAAGGTGTGACGGAGCTCCAATATCCGCATAAGGAAGAGCCTGTGCAACTCTGAACCGTGCGGCGCATCTAGATACTCCCTGACCACTACCCGGAGGCACCAAAGTAGTTCCCTTTTGGGATTCATACAAAGAAGCCTATAAGGTAATCCTCAAAAAAGGGGCCTCTGGGTAAGCCTGGAACTGCAGAGCCCTTAACTCCGGAATCAAATGACCCTTAGTCTCGAACACAACCCCTGCACACCCAAGTTCTGAAACCCTACATGTTGAAGCACTGCAGCCGTGCTCGAAGGATCACAGGTAGTTTCAAGTTGTCTGACCTCGAGCAGTAGGATCCCTTGTTAAAAAGACCTCGAATAAAGGAATGCTGAACTTTCAGGAACCTCCATGCGAACAATGCTGCATTATTTACAACATAGCCTGCCTGTGTCCAGATGCCAAACAAGGTGGCTCGGGCAAGCTCTATCCACAGTTGAGCCTGTTGTTCGGCGTTGGCAAGGATGAGGCACTCATCGACTATACTGTGCTATCCTATAAAATGCTGAACTATACTGTACTTAAAACACAACATGATAAACTGCAATACTTGTTATAATCTACTATAACACAATAGAGAGTTATGTAGTACAGTACTACACAACACAACATGATAAAGCACAGTATTATGCATCAGGGCCTTGTTGACGTCCGTGCTTAGAAGTTCGGGCTGCAGGCTCTGCCGCAGTCTCCTAGAGCCTGCTTTGGTGTAAACCCTCCTCAAGAAGTAGATCCTGGTTTAGGTTTCCGGTTCCAAAAAACAAGTAGATCCCGGGAGGAATGGTAGGGGATGGGGCTTGGAACCGTCAGAAGCCTCAAAACTCTCTCAACCTCAACAACCCCCTAAAACTTTCAACAGTTCAGAACCGAACCGCTGAAATACCCTCAACCTTCAACCCTGAGACTTAAAATTTTTGTAATACTAGAATCCCTTCCCCCTAATATTAAACGCCTCCCCCCCTAATATAATAAAAACTGGATTTCGGAGGTTTAGTTTTAATATTAGGGGGGTTTCGGTTCGGTGCATCCACGTACCCGGACTCCCAGCTGCTCCTGGAGCCCTACTAAAGCCCTAAGCCCTAAGCCTCCAGCCATAGACCCTAAAGCCCTGAGCCCTAAACTTTAAGCCCTGAAGCCCCAAGCCCCAACGCTTTAGCCCTGAGCCCTAAACCCTTAAACCCTAAAGCTCTGGTGTCTTTAGTACAGGTGTAATCTTTGGCTCTATAAAGCCCCAAGCCCTAAAGCTCCAAGCCCTAAAGCTTTAGCCCTGAACCCTTAAACCCTAAAGCTCTGCTGTCTTTAGTACTACTGTAGTCTTCGTTCAATTAAAACACATACAGATCTGCCACCCCCCCTAATGTTGTCCCTTTTAAATTGAATGTGGGGCCCGAAACCGCGAAATTCCGGGGGCCGGGAGTTTTTATATTAGGGCGGGGTTGAGTGTTAGGGGGAAGGGATTAATAACCTATACTATATTTTACGACAGTATAGTATAGTAGCTTTAAAGTATAATCATGCTATAGGTCAAACTTCAACTCCTAAGCCGCTCAGCCGGACTTGTGATGTCTTCTGGGATTTGGGGTTTAGGCTTTCGGGTCAAAGGATAAGATGTTCGTAGCGGTTTCTGCGGATTCTTTGTTTTATCTCAGGTATCTTAAGGTCGCTGAAAGGTGCTTTGCAGGTTTAAAACTTAGGTTCCAATGAATGATACACACCCCACACACACACACAGACACTTCTTCTCCTTCTTCTTGCTCAATCTCTGCATGTCTCTGTGATCTTGCGACCTTGTTACTCAAACCTGGCTTTGATACCAAAACATCTATCCTTTAGGTGGACCCCTAAGTACGACGGTGCAGAAACCGAGTAGCGATGTGTCGGGGTTTTGCGTGGGTTTGGGGATTTGGTGCCTGTGGGGTTTCAGGCTTTGGGTTATAGCGCTACTTGAAGGCTCATGGGACTTAGTAAGTAAGGTTATAAGTAGGTTATACTTAGGATAACCCCACTTAGGGGACTTATAACCCCAATTATAACCTACTTACTAAGTCCCCTGATCCTCTAAGTAAGGTTTAGGGTAAGCTTTAGATGCCGGGCCGTAACAAATTCTGATGCAAGACAAGCGTTTTTTTGGAAGCACTTATCTGGATCGGGCTTTGTCATACCGTATAAAATGATCCTCTGGAAACCTGCGCATGATTTCCTGACCCTCAGGAAAGCTGGTTAACCAGGCAATACAGACTGCACACGCCTGCAGCATGCTTTGAAACATACAAATGAAACCCTAAACCCTAAACCGGTCGCAAGACACGTTGGGGGAGTCTTGGCTTCCAAATCCGGGCTACTTGGAGGTTCATGGTTACTTGTAAGTGTGGTTGGAAACCCCTTACTCATGGGTTATAGCGAAATGTTGTCCTACTTTAAATCCCCACATACTCGCGTGAACCTCCCAGTAAACCCCAAACCCCTAAGCCTAAACCTGAGGTCCTTGCACGAAAAAGGTGTCCGCAACCCTACTGGTTTATGCCACGAATGGTCTAGGATCGAAAATCACCCTGTGTTGTGACTCCTGTTTGGCCCGCTTTACCATTATAATCATTATAGCTCAGCCTTGAGCCTATTCTTAAAAGCTCGAACCAAAACCACGAAACCACAACCCCGAATCGGAAATGGACCCCAAACCCAACGCTCTATCGCACGCGACTCAAGACGAAACCAAGCAGACACCGTATGTTTCACCGGTAAAACTGAGAGACCCCCTCCCTGTACAATTCAATAGCCAACGAGGCCTTTCCAAGATCGAAAACCACAACCTCAAACAACAAAACAAAAACAATTAAATTCAAGTTTAAACTAGGCCCGACAGCAGAACCTTTCTGAACTTATATCATAACCCTCATTCGTAAACCCTAAGCCCCGAAATCCTAAACCCCTAAACCTAAACCCTACCCTCCCACCAGAAGCCTCCACTTTCTTCCGCCAGGTGCGCTTCGAGCTGCCGAGCTGCTCGATCGCCGACCCAGCACAGCCAGCTCGACCCTCTCTGGGTCTAGGGTGCTTTTCAAGGGTCTATGAGAAGGTGAAGGTTTGATGGGCTTTCCTTTAAGGTTTCCTTTTTCGGGATTTCTTTGAAGGATCCTGTGAGGCGTCCATTCGTATTCAAGCAAGGTGTGGGATTTAGGGGTTGCGCACAAAGCTGTAGCTGCATGCTTTGGAGAGATGTTGAAGTAAATAGCTATAGCTTTGCCCTACTTATCCAGTACCCTGATCTTGCAAGTGTGCTTGAAGGTCTGGTTTGGGGCCGAGGGCTTTGTATATCGCTTCGCAGTTTTGATCGTGCAGGCAGACACCCACGCTAAGCAATAAGGCTCTTCTTAATTTCTCAGGCTTTCAACTTTTCCAGCGACTCCCATACCCCCTAAGTACTTCAGGAACATATCTTTAATCACAGGAAGAACCCTAAACCCTAAAACCCCTAAACAGACCCCTTAGGATTTCAGGTTTTGGAATCTCTGAAAATAACGATGCAGGGAGCTTCTCCTTGATGTTGGAACTGAGGTAGGGCCCCAAAAAGGCACACAAGCAAAAATAAGGTTAGCTATATCCCATATAAACCCCCTTGTAATGAAGCCTAATAAGGTTAGGGATATCCCATACAAACCCCCTTATAATGAAGTCCAATAAGTTAGGGATATCCCCATCAAATGCTTGTGCTTATGTGCTTTTGGGGTCTCTAATGAGGGTCCGGCAGCTTCCAGGATTCCGAGGAATAGAAGGAAGACGGCCCCCAAAAGCGAGCACATCACAGTTCAGGATTTAGGATTTAAGCTTCAGGCTTTAGGATTTAGGGTTATAGGGTTTAGGATTTAGGGTTATAGGGTTTAGGATTTCGCTTTTAGGGTGTAGGATTTGAGATCTAGGGTTAGATCCCAAACCCCAATCCTGCCTTTTGGAGCAGAGAATCAAGAAGATCTAAAATCCTAAATTGAATTCAGGAGCTTGTAAGTTCAAGGGTCTCTGTGAAGTGAAACGGCCCGGAAGCCAAGATGACCTCTGCCTGTCTGTCCACATACCGACCTATACACTATAAGTTCAACACATATACAAAAGTAACTCAATGAATAAAAAAGAATATATATATATACACATATATATACATAGAAAAATATATAAATATATATATATATATATATATATATATATATATATATAAATATATATAAATAAATAAATAAATAAATATATATATATATATATAAATATAAATAAATATAAATATATATAAATATATATAAATATATATAAATATATATATATATATATATATATAGACACGTACACACGACGATATATCAATGATGTCCACATACATAAGTACAGGTATATACATGTGCGTACGTGTACATGTATATTGTGCACGTGTATGTGCAGTTAATCAAACTTATCGGTAATGTCAAAAGCCAGAACTGCTTCAAGGCCTCACCCATGTCGAAGTGGGCACATCGCTTCAACAGCTCTGCGCGGGCCTCTGCAAGACTGCAGGAGGTTCCGACAAGAGCGGCAATGGGGTTAAAGGGGCCAAAGGGTTGTTACAAGGGGCGCATGGCGAAATCTCAACCCGATTTACAATGCGATCACGGAGGTCGAAGCTGTGCCTAAGCCTTGGCTCCTGAAAAGCCCCCCCTGACTTGAGACATAACAGCCAGGGGCACCATCGATGGAAGCTGACAGTCGCTACAAGTCGCAGATACCGAAGGTCTAAAACGGCGAATTCAGGTGCGGACTCTAGGGTTAGGGTGTAGGGCGTTTTCTTGCACAGCGTCCATGCGAAGATGGCACCAGGGTTTGTGGGTGGCGGAATATTTTGCGACCTGCTTGTGTGCTATGGTAGGACTAAATTATTTCTACCCGCACGCTTGTGTGCGGCCCCGCCTCACTAATAGTGGGCAGAAACAGAAGCACAAGATGAAGCACCAGGGAAATGCTGAAATGCTGACTCGGTTGTGATCATGCTCGCATGAATGGAAAACGCAAGACTGAGACAACAAGTAAACTGCCACCCCAGGAGTTGCAAACACAGTCGCACCCGTGTTGTTTTCTCGGATTCGATCTTGAGCAAACATCAACAGCTGCAATGCCTCTGCGCGACTAGGGGGGAGGGCGGGAGGGCTGGGGGTGCTGGGGGGGGGCTGAGGGGGCTGGGCTGGAAAGCTGAACGGACTGGGGTCTGGCCTCTTCGACCAAGTTTAATACTGAGAGGCGTACCCGGGCGCGACATTTCGATCACAGAAACCTCTTTTCTGTTGTGCTTTCTTGTGCTCGACGTGGTCCGATTGTGTGTTTTTTTTGTGCTTTTCTTGTGCTCCAAAAACCAAATGTGTCTGTATGTTTGTGCTCTTTTCTTCTGCTTTTCTTGTGCTCGAAACGATCCGGCTGTTGTGCTTTTCTTGTGCTCGAAGCGGTCCGATTGTGTTTTTTTGTGCTTTTCTTGTGCTCCAAAAACCAAACGTGTTTGTATGTTTGTGCTTTTGTCTTGTGCTTTTCTCGGATTCGATCTTGAGCAAACATCAGGAGCTGCAATGCCTCTGCGCGACTAGGGGGGGAGGGCGGGAGGGCTGGGGGTGCTGGGGGGGGGCTGAGGGGGCTGGGCTGGAAAGCTGAACGGACTGGGGGGGCTGGGGCCGGGCCAGGGTCTGGCCTCTTCGACCAAGTTTAGTACTGAGAGGCGTACCCGGGCGTGACATTTCGATCACAGAAACCTCTTTTCTGTTGTGCTTTTCTTGTGCTCGACGTGGTCCGATTGTGTGTGTTTTTTTTGTGCTTTTCTTGTGCTCCAAAAACCAAATGTGTCTGTATGTTTGTGCTCTTTTCTTCTGCTTTTCTTGTGCTCGAAACGATCCGGCTGTTGTGCTTTTCTTGTGCTCGAAGCGGTCCGGTTGTGTTTTTTCTTTGCGCTTTTCTTGTGCTCCAAAAACCGAATGTGTCTGTATGTTTGTGCTCTTTTCTTCTGCTTTTCTTGTGCTCGAAACGATCCGGCTGTCGTGCTTTTCTTGTGCTCGAAGCGGTCCGATTGTGTTTTTTTGTGCTTTTCTTGTGCTCCAAAAACCAAACGTGTTGGTATGTGTGTGTTTTTTTTCTGTGCTCCATGATTTCAAAACACATTGGCGCGCAGCAGTTCTGGTGCAAAATTGTCTCTGTCTGTTGTGCTTTTCTGGTGCTCGGAACTATCCGATTGTGGTTTTTGTTTGTGCTTTTCTGGTGCTAGTTTTGCTCTGTCCCTTTGGCGGCCGGGCCAGTCCAGTCCCCGCGTCCAGGCCGTCTGAAAGAAGGTCTCCGGGCCCAGGTTGCGATGGTAACGAAACCGTGGTTCCAAACCTCTTCGCTGGTAAATTGCAGATAGCTCCTCCCAACCTCTTCGCCGGTCCGACCCCATCTCACAGCCCTATAATCGCCAAACTATGCCAAACTTATTTGCATTCAAAACACTGCCTGGCCTGGAGAACCGAATGAGATCAGATTTCCTTGTGCTACTTTTGGCCTGTGTGTTTGATAATAAACCTATTGTTGAACTATTAGTGGGCCGGGGCCCCATCTAACGGCCCGCTGTCATAATACCGCAGACGACCACCCGAACGATTTCCTGTTAGGCTGAGGGTCACCGCAGGCCCAAGGTTCCTGGAACATGGTTGCTGAGGCCTCGCACCCTTCGTGGGGGGCCCAATGTTTGGGAGAGGCTTCAGCGCTGCGCGAAGAGATGTGGGCCGGTGTTCCCATCAACAGGAAAATCAAGGTCCGTGTACTTGCGATTTTGATCCCAGCTAAGGCCGGCCGACGGTGAGGCGGAGGCCTCGACAGCCCGGATCGGGCTGTATTCGACCATGCTCCGCACGCTCCACCCATTGCTTGGCCCAGTGCGGGCGTAAAGGCTGCCAAGCACCTTCAGCGCCTGGGCACCCAGTTATGGGAACGGTCCCCGAATCCCGGGTGGGAGTTTTGGCTTTTTGTCAGCCACAAAGAAATAATGTATATAGGGCCTTAATAATTAGAATAGGGTTTTTGGCCCATTATACTGTAAATATACTAAGGATATTCAGGCCCCCAGGATTACTGACCGTAGGCCCGGCCTGCAGGCTGAGATGCGTGTAGCCATTTTGGAGGTCGAAGATGCCGCGGTCATGACAGGCTTGGCGATAAATCAACCGCTCCTGACTTCGGGGTTTAAGGGTTTTTGAAGAGTTTAGAGTTCGAATTTGGGGGCTTAGGGTTTAGGGGCTTAGGAGGTCTTCGGGGTTTAAGGTTTTTTGAGGGCTTGACATGGCCCATGTCGGGCCTCATGGTCTTCACGGGCGAAAGTGATAATCATGGGGATGATCATGCCCGTGAACATCCCCAATAACATCATTGCTCCTGGTTTTTCACTCGTAACTAAACTCCTTTACTCAGGTTTTTTGCTCGTCAATCTCTACTCATAGAGGATTACTCGCTAAAAATACTCGCAAACGTGTTTACTCGGGGTGTTTACTCGTAAATTTCGATTCATAGAGGGTTACTTGCAAAAATACTCGCAAACGTGTTTACTCGGGGTGTATATTCGTAACTCTCTACTCATGCAGGATGACTCGCAAAAAATACTCGCAAACGTGTTTACTCGGGGTTTTTACTCGTAAGTTTCTACTCATAGAAGATTACTCGCAAAAAATACTCGCAAATATGTTTACTCGTAAAACTTACGGCGGCAATGGGGGGGATGTTTGGGGGATGTTCATGCGGCTGTTTGTCCCAGAAACATCCCCTGTATTCTGAACCACCAGGCAGACGCGGGCCATGTCAAAATTTAGAGTTTGGGGGCTTGGGGTTTAGGGGTTTAGGAGGTGCAGTAGTAGGAGATAGGCTTCGGGCTGCAGGGGCAGAAGTGCAGATGTCTCCGCGAGAGAAGTTACTTCGAAGGATAATGCTGGGTTTTGAGGTGCACGGTTCAAGGCTAGACCCCTCAGCCCCAACCCCTTTACATCCCGTGATTCAAAAACTGGAATCCTAAGGAATTAGCTCCAAAACCCTTTATTACACGTCCTGGTTCCTGACTCTGGGCACTAAGCCTCTCACACTCCGAAAAGCACATACAAAATCATCCTCTTCCGGTTTAGGGCTTAGGATTTATGTAATCTAGGACGACCCCTTGTCGTCCCTATATAGTCGCGGGCGCTTCTAGGAACCTAGGCGTCCCAAAATGAAGGAGTCCTTAGAGCAACCTCGGATCCCCTCGTCGACCTACACCCGATAAACCCTCATAAACACCATAAACTCCAAAAGCCCAAGAAACCACAGCCACAACCCCTAAACCCTGCAAAGCGATAATGTAGGGGCCTTAACAATTAGGATAGGGTTTGGGGGTAGTTCATACTATACATATAAGAAGGAACCACCAAAATAGTGCAGGTAATTAGCAACGCCCCTATACTAAATCCTTGCAATGGCCCTTTTAGACCCCTTTAAAGGAACCCCATTAGTTATAGGTAATTGTTACAGCCCCTATAAAAAAAACTTGCACCTCGGACGTGTGCTCCACGACCTCTTCGTGCTCTTGCACGCGGATTTTCTCCACAAGGTCGGAGGTGTTTTGCCTGCTCAGCGCTTTTGCGTTTACGGTCATAGGCTTTCCTCGACAGGTTCTGCAAGAGCTCTACAAGGGTTCTATGACAGGGCGTAGGATTGGGGGTGTAGCGGCTTACAGGTTTAGGGTTGGGATGCCGCTTGCATCTCTGCATGTATTTGTTGCGTGTTGTTCTCGTGCTAGGTAGCGGGCCACACATCGTGGGGCGCGCCCCTTACAAGGGTATTGATGCGGCAAACAGCTACTCGTGGTAAGATTGCTCTTGGCTACTATGATCATGACGGTGAAGGTGCAGGCTTTAAGGATCATCAGGACGGAGAAGAGACGGCGGAGAAGAAGACGCTGATGCAGCGAATGATAGCACGGATTGTCTCGAGGAAAAAGGACATGTTAAGAGACAGCAGGGCTGCGACGACGTGCCATGCTGCTGATGTCTTTTGTACCGGTGATGTCTGTCACGGCCATGACTGCCGTGAAGAAACCTGTGACGATGATGATAAACATCGCAGACAGATTGAGATTGATACAATCAATTCCTAGCACCTCGGATCTCTTGGGACACAGACGCCCTATTCAAACGCCTGCTTCCAGCCCTGAACTCCGTCCAAATCCCTCCAGGAATCCATCAAGCTGTTGGAACCCCTCAAACCTTGGCGAAATCCGTAAACAAACGCTCACAAAGCCTGTGAAACAACATGACGCAGCCCAAAACCCTGACTTAAGTGAGCCCAGCGCTCCTGACGCTAAGGGACTTGAGTTAAAGTTACCATAATTAGGACACCCTATTATGTACTATAGATCCCCATTATGGTAATTGAGCCCAGCGCTCCTGATGTACTTGCCGACGAATTTCTGGGCATCCGCATGCAGGCGTCG